GTCGTCTGGCGACCAAAGGGAATTAACAGGAGATTCACTGTGCCATGTGTTCCTTGAGAACACATGGCACAGTGGAGAAAGGTGTTAGTTAGATCCAGTGACAGGACCTAAAGAGTGTGAGTTCAATACCCGGTTAAGGCAGTGGAGAACTTGGAGAGGGGAATTAACAACAAATAACTGAGATCCATTAAACATGGCACGTGGAAAGAGAACAGTCCACCCCAGTGAGCGAAATAAAGGGTTTAGTTCGACATTCTAACCTCCTGAAGAAGGCCGGAGCGTACAACAGCCGAAACGTTGTAATAAATATGGCGACAAAGATGAGGACAATAGTCCGAATAATGAAAAGTTATATATATATATATATATATATATATATATATATATATATATGCGTTTCACCCCAAGCAAGGCGGGAAGCTACTAAGACGCAAGGGGTTACAGAAGATTTGGAGCAAGATCAGATAGGAGGGATAGAGGAAAGGATAAGGAGAAGGATAATGGATAGATCAGGGCAACTGGAGATGTCGATCGACATTACATTTGAATAGTTGGCGATTATAGCTTTCAAGGAAACTGGATTCGTGGCGACATGTCGGACTGCAATAGACGTCTCTTTGCTTCTGCCCGTAACGAGTGTAAGCGTGTCCTCAACGATGTTAAGTCACTATTTGCTGCTCGGATGAAGGAGCGTATTGCATCTCGCAAATTTGACTCCAAAGATTATTGGCGTCTCTGCAAAAGCGTATTTAACAATTGCAAACCCTCTATACCTCCTTTGTTTAACCAGTTCGAAGTGCTGACCTCCTCTGTCGACAAGGCTGAATGCTTTGCTCGGAGATTTTCTATCAACTCAACGCTCGACTCTTCCGGTGACTGTGCACAGTTTAAATATCATTAAGCTAATGCAACAAGTAAATGTTGGGCACTCGATCGCATAATTTTCCAACAAATAAAATCGAGATATAATATCTTAATATTTTTTTATGTCGTTTTCGTTATTATTACTACAGTGTAGATCACATATTTCAGCAGAATTGCATATGTAGATCACATTCTTAAATGTAGATCACAAGCTGAAGAAAAAATCATGCCTGTAGATCACACATTGAAGAGACACCATGTTTGATTGTAAGCAAGAGGAATAGTCCAAGATAAGAGCTACGAATAGGTGAACCACTTAACAGCTGTTTATCCCAGGTTCACCCTGACCCGGGGTGGTAGCACCTTTTAGGGTCCCTTCTAGAGACAAATAGTGAACTCACAAACAAAAATCAACGATACATTTTCAAAATAAAATAACGAGTTTATTTTTATAGCAAAATGAAAATATTGGTTGGTTTTAAAAATAATGACGTAATAATGTCGTTTTTGACGTTAACGTCAAAAACGACATTATTACGTCATTATTTTTGCACCAACCTAATACATCACTAAAATAATATAAAATATATTTTTATAGTAAAATTACTAAGAATACATTTTATGATCTACAAAATATATATCTAAAAAACATACCTTTCCTCTGAAAGTATAAAGTTATGTGCATAACAACTGTAGTTGAAAGCATAAATTTGTGAACGATATTTAGATTTCGACATTAACCCTTAGATGTTGACGTAACGCTAAACAAATTCAACTAACCAACAATACCTATTTTTAGTAAAATTACCAACAATATATATTCAAATCAAAATCACCAACAATACCTTTTATCTGCAGATGAAGCCATAAAATTGTGTTCAAAATACTTAGATTTCGGTATTAAATAACCCATAGAAGTTGATATGCTGCTATACACATTCAATCAACCAACGAATGGGTGATATTAAAATTAATCAAGTACGAAGATTTAAATATCTGGGAAGAGCCTTAACAGAGAGCGGAAAATCTAACACCGAAATACGAAGGTTCATTGGAATCTCGGAAGATGCTTTCCAAAAGTTAAGCAAAGGATTAAGAATAAATTGTCATGAGAAACAAAGAAAAAACTGTGATGTAATTTTTCGGCTTCCTATCTGACGGTGAATGCGAGACATTCTCCTCATAGATAAATAAGGCAACAGAAATATGGTTCTACAGAAGGATACTGAGAATAGCACGAATGGAACATCTGTGTAACAAGTTTTAAGGAAAATGGAAGCAAAATGGACTATTATGCTTAATCAGAAAGAGGCAGTTGATACTTCTAGGACACATAATGAGAAAACGAGAACTGAGTAATTCGACACTCGTGTGACCTAACGAGAACAAAAGAGGTGGAGAAAAACAAGCATGGGTAAATAGAACGCAGACGAGTAACTTGAAGTGAAGGAAAAAGGTAAACTTTACCAAGGGCTACAAAGAATAGGAAGTTATGGAGAGCTATGATCGTCCTCGTTCTGAAAAGACACGTCACATAGAAGAAGAAGAAGAAGAAGAAGAAGAAGAAGAAGAAGAAGAAGAAGAAAATGATGATGATGATGGAGAAGAAATTAAAGAAGAAGAACAACAACAACAT